TTCTGAAAAGGATGTGGCTGCACTAAAATGGACTTACACAGAAGACAAATTCATTCTTCTGTACAGGATATATTACAGCTGTTCACTTCTAGTTTTTTGCTACAGTAATACTTTCAGTACCTGCAAAAATGCGTTCAAGTACTTAAAAGTCTCTCTCACAAAATACTCCTTGGCACATGACCAAGCTAGGTTCCCCCATGATTGTGAAGCATTTCCATTATTTGTTCCATATTAAACACAGAAATAGAATCCATTAAGACTCCAGCATCACCCTAAATGTTTGGCTCAGTCACAGAAACAAGAGTTTCACGTAACCTAAACTGAAGCAGTTCACAGTAGAGATTTGGTTGCTGTTGATTGGTCTGCATTCTTTACCCTGTTCTCAGTCTACTTGTTATCCAACATATAGAAACAATACCACACAGAGCAAATACTCCTAATTTGCTTTTCAGTCCTGTTAATGTAAGTTTTCTAAATATCTCAGTCTGTCACTACCAGTTGCAAGGCATCCTTTCACAGAAGTGTGATCTGTCATTATAAAAAAAGCTGAAAGCTGATTTCACACCTCTGCTTGTTAAGTATTTTCTAAAGCAAATTAAGCTCTTTACTTAAAAAATAATTAAAACTAACTCTTCATTAACAGTTCAAATTGCCTAGGTAAATTTGGTCACAGCTCTAATTTGCACACTGTCGCTGAACAGTTTTATCAAGCTTCTTCATTTCATGCTTGCAAAGGATCACTTTCTGATTATTTCTCTTCCACACGTATTTACACTTGGCATGAATGAAATGGCAGTTATGAAATAGCCCATCAACAATGGCAACATCCTTTAAAATCTTGAGACCCAACTGGAAGCCCCCATTGACGGGTTGGCACTTTGCCACTTGATGCTTAAGAGGTTACAGAACTGGATTTTACTGCTGCAGGGATTACATGCAGTGATAAGTGATGGGAAACAAGTTTACACAACTTCAGGTTTTGTCCTGTACCTAAGGAATGCCTAACCAAAATCTCATGCATTAACTGTAAAAAGTTAATGGATAATTGCTCCCATTTCTTCTGAGCCTACCTAGCTTTGAGCAAAGAACAAAACAGAGTTCTAACTGAGCAACTTTTGTCATCTTGGTCATGATAATCAACACATGCAACTCTTCCTGCTTTTAGTTGCATGAAAGCATTCTGCCTATGAATACATTATCTATGTAAACCTAAGGTTTTGAAAATGAGCTCAGTGTTTTTAATTAACAGATCATCCCATAACCACTGTTTCTCAGCCAGTCTTCGCTGGCCCTCTATTTGAACCTTTGTTTCCCAATTCACCAGTCTTTTATCAACACTTGGCACAACATGACTTCCAACTTCACTGGAATCCTTTAGTTCTGTTATCGCAGGTCTTTTTAGAAGCATTTGATTGTTTTGCTAAAAGATATAACTGAAAAGTCACTAATAATTCTGCTCTGCTGGAATCGTAAAAGACTACAGATCTGAAGTGAACTCAGAATTGCAGACATTAGCAGCAATTTTTGGACGGTGGGTACCTCACTGATTTGGACTAGAAAAGCCATCTTAAGTCTCCCCAACAAGTTCCTTCATCTGCTTTTACACATCTGCACTTTTCAATACTAAATAAATAAATGATTTGCCATTGTCTGAAATTTTCAACTAGTCGTATTTATTCAAATCTTGAGAGAAAACAAAAAGCATTATTTTTGAGAGTATATTTGTACAACTGAACACCTTGTGCTCCCACTAAACAGGGGCTCTAGGCTACCTGCTTATCTCACCAACCCAGAAGCAATTCAATTATATGCCCATATTCTGCTTAAGCCCCTTCTTCAGAGCATCATTTAGTAGTTTCATCAACAGGCTGTAGCAAGCCCCCAAATGAAACCATTCAGTGTAAATCCACTGGTTTACTCTGACCCAGGGAATTCCTATCAGGTTGCTCTTCATCAAACCTCTTCGGAAGAAAAAAGGAATTACTACACACTTTTCTAAAACAGTCTGTCTTTGCTGGGCTTAATAACATCCTTACATCCTCTTGCTCTTCTTCATAAACAGCTTTCACTTAAAACCAAAGCTGACTGACATTCTCTGACCTTTAAGGAGGCACCCCACAAAGTTACAGGTACAAACACAGCAGAAGGGTCTACCTTTTCCCATTGGCAAACACGATTTCATTAGCATAGTTCCAAACACATTAGAAAAAAAATAATTACTAACGGCTAATTTCAATGTAGTGGCTTTTGGACTTTTGCTGTCTTACCTAGCCTCCTCTGGCACAGTTTCATTTTCTCACTAGAAACCATCATATTTTCAAATGTGTAGGTGATGAGGTCAGAATTACTATGGCAATTAATCACCTCGACATTAATATTTTGGTGGAATTTCACATACTTGGCCATTTTGGAACAATTTAATAGATTTCATAAAAAATAAACTCATAAATCAATCAGATAAATAAGTCTGTTTCAGGGGGGTTGGCTATCATTAATGTAGCTGCCTTACATTCCTCTTGCCAGCTTGAGTTTCTTTTCTAACAAACAAAATCTAAACTCATTTGAAAACACAACTGACATGCAAATGGGCTGCACCAAATAGACTGACAGGCCCTGACCCTCAGATTGATTTTTTTTTTCACTTTCTTATAAATATTTTCTATCTTTTACTAAAAATAAAATACTTAAAAATAAACAGTAGAAAGAGGAGATTAACTCAGACAGTCGACAGTTGTCTAAGTAGAATTCAGTACTCCTCTAATTTAATCATGTTTCTCTTGTAATGAATATACAGAAAAACTCCTGCAGGTTTTTCACTATTCCTCCAGGAGAAGGAGGGTGGCAAAAAGCAGAATTTCAAACATTCAATGAGAGAAACTTCAACAAATTTTTATAATAGGTTAAATATTCTTAGCTAATTTAAAACATTTTGAGGTACATGGATAGTAAAAGCTGCAAAGTTCTATGAAATACTGTGATCACTAAAGCTCTATTTTGTGCCCTATTAACATTTTTTTAATTCTCATCCCTTGAGTATATATGCACTAAGCATCGGAAATAAACCAGTGCTCAGGCACAGCAGCCCTCTGTGTAGCTGGAAGGATTCAAACAGATTTCATCTTTTTTTCCTTGCTCCACCACTGATTATATGTTTGATAATATGATGGCTTGCAAAGAACTTGTATTTTTTCATGGAGATCTATTCTTTCCTTGTTTGCCCTTTGCATTGAACTTTTTCTTACAGGACATCAATACTGGGTAGGGGGGCTTAAACAGAAAACCAGAAAACAAAAACACTTTTGAGACAAATTTAAGGGTCTTTTGGGTAATTCATCTTTCGGTGTACCAAGGAAATCAGGGAGAAAATCCTGCTGCCTTCCTGACACCATGATACATCTTTATTGGAAAACAATGGGCTGGATTCAAAGACAGATAATCAAGTTGAGGGTTCTCCTACAGAACTTTTCAACTACATTTTGCACAACAGGATGCCAGCGAGCATGCTGAGCAGAGTGCTATATAACAGGTTAGAAAGCACTACAGCCTATTAGGATATACGTTCACATTGCTCTGGATAATCTACTACACTGCACTATTTGTATGTAACTTGCATTGCTTTGAAAAGGCTCCTCTAGGGAAATGTTTTCATCTTAATTTAAGTGTATACTTTTGCCAGATCAGATAGGAGGGCCATTTGTGGTTTGCTGCATTAGGTTGAAAAGACTACTATGGTTTTTCAGGTAAAGAAAAAAAAAAAAAAAAAAAAAAAAAATCAAGGTTTATACTGAACACATTAAAGTAGAAAGCCACTGATAAAATAAGAAACAGCTGGTAAATGAAGACAAGGAACAGTGTTAAAAAGAGTAACTGCAATGTTTTTCTTTAAGAAGGATATCACAAATGTCTACCATAATGTAACTACCATAAATCCTATGTGAGTGGTTAACATACACTGCACCGTAGACCCGGATGAGAAATAGATGTTTAAGTGTTGAAAACCAACATATGGTAAGTTTTAGCGCTGCTGTTTGAGCAAGTATGACTAGTCATCTAACTGCCAAACTCTTCCAGAGGAGGAGAGAAACAGCACTGAAAGTACAAGTATGAATTACTACACAGCAGAAGACAAAATGAAGAGGTCAGGGATAGAAGTCAGAACTGTCACCAGAGCCTGTGCCCCACATGGGCTGGAGTATCGCACGCTCCCTGTTGCATGAGGATACAGAGGTTAGTCCCCCATGCTGTGATAGAAGTGACAACATGCAAATGTACTAATCATTTAGCATTTTGAATTCTGCTGCTCATCTGTATTGAAGTGGCCAGACACAATTTATCTGAGTGCACATTTCAAGAGCTAGATAGAAAACATGAATTGACAGGTCCTGTATTTATACTGTGCATTTCAGGTCATTGTGGTGCAGTTACTTTGCAGATTTCAGAGATCATTTGTTATAATTTCAGTGAGGAGAAACATAACATTTATTGAAAAGGAAAGGAATCTTCAGTAAAATCTTTGTAGGAAACATACCTCTGACAGAGATGTATCTGCTAACATTTTCATATTAACAGAATCTTCTTTATTTCTATTAAAAGATATCCATTACTAAAAATGGAGTTGAATCGTATATCCCATTGACAGCTTGACAATAAAAAAGAAAAAGTATAACCACGTAGTACCTTAGTGGCAACTTCCTGAAAAGATCTCCTTTTGTCCAAACATAATTTTGTATTCACAAATCAAATGCACACACAATGTTCAGACAGTAGTTCTACTAAAGATAAATGACAAATTACATGCAGAAAGCAGAGTAGAGTTCCGACTGCATGTAAAAATAAACCATTTACCACTTCCAAAGGACAAACGCTTCTTCTGGAAATTTTATAGGACAGTAGCCGCAATTTAGTCTTCAATAACTGCAGCCCTTTCAAAAGCAAATACACATTCAAAAACTATATATTACAAACATAGAGACAGAGATCCTATTGCTATGAGTACTCACTTCATAATTGGCAATTGCTTCTCTATCAAGGGTTCGGGTCACGGAGACTTCCCCACTGATCTCATTGATTCTAAAAATTCCTTTTGGGTCTTGATCTACTCCCTTACCAGAGAGTCGAAACTTTGCTCCCTCTGTCCCTTCACGGCTGATGACCTACATGGCAGAAAACAAGAAGTTACAGGTCATATTATAAAAACTTCTAAAATCATTCTATTTCAATCTTTTACCTAATGTCGTGGTATATTCCCTGCCAATAATACTTAACTATAAAATATGGTTCGTGGTAATATATAACTGTAAAATATGGTTTCAATCATTCAGAAAACTGTGCGATTCTTGTGTAAAACCCTGGAAAACCTACTCATGTCCTTAGACAGTTCCTATCTTATCTTTACTGTCTTCTATTTCACTACTTAAAGTTTCTATTATTCCATTGCTACTGTATTCGCTCTATGTCTAGAATTTGACATTTTATTTAATTCTGTATCTTTTTGCAGTTAAATTGATAAAACAGCTACAAACTTACAACAAAAAAAAAAAAGAAAGAAAAAAGACATATTCCATTGAATAGCATAAAGCATACTTATTTCACAACAACCCTTACAATACCAGATAGCCATCACACATTACTTTCCGATTAGTCAGTCCTTTTTATTAGTCATCATAAAGTCATTACAAAATAGACTACTTTCAGGTTGTTTTTTTCCCCCCCATTCCCTTCTACAGTCCTCCTTTCCCAGGATTTTAAACCAAGGGAAAAATCTCCTCATGAAAACATCTGGATATTCTGCCCAGAACTCTGCTTAGTCACACTGTTGGAATTCCTCCACTTTCCAAATTTATATTTATATATATAAACACATGTGTGTATGGAAACTCCTTGTTACTATCGCTACCTTATTTCCCCATAAGAAAAAAATCCCTAAAAATCCAATTTCAAGGCTGTCTCACATTAGTGACAGTAACATATGTAAACTTGCAGAGCTACACAGTGTTTGTTATAAGCTACATGCTTTGCAAATTTGTATTTGTACACCAGAATCTGGAAGGATTATAAATTAATCTTGCCCTTTAAGGCTGATAATCTTGCCAAACCATTCCTTCCCTCTGCTATTTCACGTTCTTTTGTTTCAAGCAATTTTATATCGTTAATATTTCCGCAGAAACATTAAGTCAAATATTTATATGCTGGTCTGAATTACAGCTCAGGAAGAGGAAGGGAAAAAGTGGCCTTAGAAATCTGGACCTGTTCCCATTTTGGGATAATAAATATGCAGGGTGTTTAATAATGTCCCTGAGGAAATACATGTTTGTTGCTCTGTTGCTGTGGGTTCAGCAACGCTGGTTTGCAGATTACTGGGCAGTGAGATTTTGACTAAACTCCATAATCATTATTCTTTTATTTTAATTGAGAAAAAATTGCCACAAGTTATGAAATAGGAAATCAGCATTTTGAGAGATAAAGTTTCAATTCTCAAACCCTTTGGGGAAGGGAGAAATTTCAAAGTAAAAACCTGTTTCAGCTATCTTTTCTTCCTCCTTCCGAGTCAGAAACCCTAATGGATGAAGTTTTCTTCTCATGTATTTTTGAGTATGTCATGCCAAAACACAGAGGCAGGCAATAGTGCAGGTGACAAAAGGGCAAAGTAACTTTGTAACTTCAGGTTTTGTGATGAAACTGAAACTTAATGGTTCCTACTGAAAAGTTACCTGCTGTTCAATTCATTTTTTGACCAATCTCTGGTATTTATTACATCAAGCCTAAAAATATGTGTTTTTCTTAACATAAAGCTATGCTTACAATTTTGCAGTGTCATGACCATTGCTCACTTTTGTAGGGAAAAGACGAATTGACCGTCTTCTGCCCTGATTTCTGAGACTTATTACAAAATAAGTGCACCTTCCCATCCAATACAAGAACAATGGTTTGAAAGGCCTGAAGTCAGCCACAGGCCAGCACAAAAATCTAATTCAGAGATGTCTACACAACAGCCAACTCCACCATAGCCATCAAACATTACCTAACCATTTATGACAAATTTAAGGTGTACTATAGGTGCAATGCCCTAGTTGTAAGAAGCCACAGAAAGAAAGCAAAACAAATCATGGTCTGTGCAAGGGAATTTATCAGAAAAATATACAGATCTTTCTCCACACTAGATGGAAAGGGAGGAGTGTAATAATAATATTAATAAGGGACCCTGCAAACCTGACTGAAGGGAAAATTTCCTCTCAACTCCAAACCTGGCAAAGATCTTAACCTTGAGTTTGATGGCAAGACATCCCTAAGTGGTACCAGAAAGATTTGTACTCCTTGGAGCTACGACACATCTCATATCTCATCCCCAATTTAGCTTAAACCATTCTTCAGCATATAATGTATAGGACCAAAAGAGTTACCAGACAGCAGAGTTTTTTTCTAAATTACTGAATGTGTCCATTCAGCTTTTTTAAAGCTTCAGGAAGCAGTCACATTCACGGTGCAAGTATGTGCAGACCCTTCTCTCCCATCTATTTATCCATCTATGCATCTAGTTATTGCACAGTGACTTATGCTTGATCTAGTAAGAAGCAGCACAGGTTAGAGATGCTCCACATACCATTGCATCATTCGTTCAAGAACAAGGGTGGTCACCCAAAAAGTAATTTTCTGAAGTACTGTTCTTTAAAATGTTTAATTAGCCACAAGAGGGAGCTACAGACTCCCGGGAATGTAAGGAAGTCCCTTAACATCTCCTAATTAAGATGCTTATATAATGGCTGCATAGTTCAAAGAAAGTGCATTTCCTAGTTCACACTAAGCTCAGTACAATGAAAAGTTTAATAAAAATCAGGCTTAATTTGCCATATGGTTTGGTGCTTCAACAAGAGCCAGGAAGAAAGAACAGGAGGGTTGTCTGACATCTCCTCTGGCAAAACTGCTATTCTGAATACTGTCATAAACACAGCACTGTTCATATGAAAATTTCCTAGCTTACAATGTATTTATACAACTAAGCTTTCCCAGTTTACTGGCTGAGAAAAAACAAGGCCAGATTATTTCTGCTGGAATGTTTACTTTGGGATGCCGTTTTTACATTTCTGAAATACATAAATTACTTTCCCACAGTTCCTACTACCTGAAGACCAGACAGAAACACTTATTTCCATAATTTGTTCATGGCTTTAGGAACTTCAGTGCAGGTTCTAATATTGAAAATGTCTGCTCTATATGATAGTGGCTGTGTTGCATATAAAGACTCTTCATTCTAAGGAAACAGTCCAGTTAAGGTAGCGCAGACTCAGGCCCCTACCTCCTGAGAATATGGATAAAGCAGGCACACTTTATCTGGCCTCCCATTTTCTACATATCTTCCCTTGTTCTGATCTCACAATTCAGAAGGGCCTTGACATTGTATGGGCAGATAGCATAGACAAAATAGATGCCAGCTGAGCATCCCACACTAATATAGACTCTTGAAGGCTATTTTCTCACCCAGAACCCAAAGGACAGTATTAGGTATACACTTAGACATTACTCACTTCCCCACAACTGATAACACTTTCGCATGTCAAGGGTACATCAGAGAATAAATGTGTTGAAAACTGAAGTGATCCATACTAGCCTTGTCAGGACCACATATCTAGCACCCAAGACAAACCAGTATTTTTTTTTTTCTTTTTCCAAAAGACAGAGACTGTACAATTCTTCTCAACTAAGACACACTTTCAAGAAAACAGAATGTTACTTAGCTGACAGGATCTGCTTTTTGCTGAACCATGGCCAAAACATATTTACCAAGTGCTAATTTTTCAGCTGACATTATGTATCCCTTCCAGCTAAACTCATTTCGGCAATGTGATCCCCCTGTTGTTACGGGTTTATCGCAAAAGTGAATCAGTGTTCTCAAGAGAAAAAGAAAAATAGAAGTACAGAAAAACCACACTACCCCCAGAGAGAGACTTTACAGTTCTGCAACCCCAGCAAATCTGTCCTTAACAGCACCATCCTAGTTCAAGTTTACCAGTTTCATTCTTTAAGAAGTGTTTGCCTCAACCACTTGCATAATTTCTTAGTTCTTGACACTATCTGAATTAGAGATGCACCATAGTAGTTTCACTTTTTAATTAGAAAACAAATCCCTCCCTCAAACAGGAATATTTGGTTCATACCCCAGTACTTTTCATTTCAGAGCATTGCACTGTCTCTCATCTTTTTTTTTTTTCTTTTTTGGGGGGTGGGGGGTGTTTGGTTTTGGTGTTTCCTCCCTCTCCTTGGAAGCAAATTTATCCATGGAATATTTAGAGGTGAACTATTTTTTCCTTTAATCACTATGCTCCACAAAAGCAAAACAATGGTTTAGGCCCATTGTTTAGATATCATATAAATATTTAAACAGACACTTCCTGTCCTGCCATACTGAAAATCATTCTTTACAGTCAGAGGCTCCATCTGCTCTGTACTGACTCAAATAATCTTTCAACCAAAACAAATGCAAAACATTCCCATCATTATTCAAAAGCACTAACCAAGAGAAACTGTTACATTACTATAAGCTAAACATACAAAAACTGTGCTTCGAAAGCAATTTATATAATTTGCTGAGTTTAATAACTTATTAAATCTATTGGTTCTCAATACCTCTATCTTCATTAATTAAATACTAGATGAACTAGTTAAGCAAAGGAACCAAATTCTGCTCCTTGACAAAGGGAGATATGTTGGCCAAATCTGACCTTTGCTTTCTCTCTGACTACGACTTCAGAAGTCATTCAATATATGGGTGATAGCCAAGAACATCCAGGTGATTTATTCACATAAGTAATGGTAACAGTCACTTAGAGAAGCTTTATAATGTCTATGTCCTTTGTTCATGATAATTAGGGATAAAACCAACACGCTATATATGACAGTATATATTTTAGGTAACACTTTTTTTTTTTTTCACATAGTGAGCCTTGCTATTAGCTTCATTATATTACTGTATTGGCTCTGTGTGGCAAGGTTTTGGTAGCAGGGGAGTTACAGGGGTGGCTTCTGTGAGAAACTGCTGGAAG